AAGAGCTCACCCTGTATATATGCCGATACAACATCCATTTGATGGACATGCATCTCCTCGTTTACGGCTGCAGCAAGAAGAGTTCTAATAGTTTCGTACCTTGAAACCGATGCAAATGTTTCTTCGTAGTCCACTCCTTCTCGTTGCGTATGTCCTCGTACAACCAGCCTGGCCTTAAATTTTTCAACTTCGCCTTTTTTATTAAGTTTAGTTTTAAAGACCCAACGATTTGATAGGATTTTTTTATCTTTTGGTCTAGGTACTAAAATCCAGGTTCTGTTTTCTAGTAAACTTTTATACTCCCTATCCATAGCGGTTAGTCATGCTTTACTATCGCCACGACTTAATACTTCCGGAACAAATTCAAGGTCTGGAATCCTTGTGTTGCGTGTTTGATAGATTTTCTTTGGTCTACCCGGCTGTCCTGTTCTCAATAGTTTTGGACGTCTTCGTCCACGACGAACTTCATCATCCTCTTTGTTAAGTGTATCCTGTGGATCGATTTCCGTTGCAGATTCTTCTGAGTCTGACTCCCTATTTTCTTCTCTATGCTCTAGATATTCCCCGTTTCGAGGGTCTGATGGTTCCAATGAAATGTTGCTTGAATTATCAATCGTACTTACTTCTATATCATCTGATGTAGCCAAAAGATTTTTTGTTGACATGTTGACCAAATCCTGTTTCTCAAAGAATCTTACATCTCGTACCTTGATTACGGTTTTCATTCTTGGTTTCCAAAGTCGATACACTTTAGATTCTTCTGAATATCCGACTAAAACGTATTTATCACCTTTTGGTTGGAATTTTCCTCGTCTTTGTGCTTTGTTCAACACAATTGCCTTGGATCCAATGACTCTAAAGAAACCAACGTAAGGTTTGTATTTCGACCACGCTTCGAAAGGGGTTTTTCTGTTTAACGTCTTACAAGGGGAGGACGCGGACTTCGGGTCACCGATTTCAAAGAAATTTTTATATGGTATAGTACTCTATCAGAACAGTACTTTAGTAAAAGGATAGGGCGCAACGCTCAGCCGTTTTCGAGAAAAATCGATTTGAAGTTTATGGCGTCCCTTATATTCCGGTCCTGTTGGATCGATTGTCGAGAGGGCGGCGTAGCTCGGGCACTTAGGCTCTGGGCTATCACGTTGTCGACCTGGGTTCGATCCCTGCCTATTATTACTTTTTTTTTTATTTATTTTATTTATTCTAGCGAATATTTATTCATTATTATAATGAAATAAATTTATTTTAATTAACAATTTTGTTTTTTTTAATTTGCACTTTCACTACTTCTATCATATAAAAAATAAAGTAAAAAAAACGTCTACGATTTAAATAATATTATAATTATTATTTAATACCAGAAATATTTTATTAATCATAATTTAATTTGGTATGTAATTTTTCACTTAACTTCGTTGAGTTACTTATTGCTCCAACCATAATATTTGTATACCTAGTGTTCTCACATCAGGTAACTGCTAACAGTTTTTAGCTTCCCCC